GATGGCTCGGTCGATATGGAGGCACTCGTTAGTACATTAGAACCCTCTTGGTCGAAGGGAAGTAGCTCCAATCAGGGGCTACTAATAATTTTCCCCCTAACCGACCTATGTGCCGCGGCAATAATCATTCCCACCCCCTCCCTGCCGTCGCCGCCCTTGCGCCCGAGTGTATACCACCGGGTGCCACGCATCGCCGCCAGCACCACGAGCGATGCTACCCGCCCCCTCTGCAACCCCATCCGCAAGGACTAATCGCTCGCCCTGCTAATGATTTATAAGCGACGCGCGCTCGTGCACACGCGCGTATGCGTGCGTGCGCGCGCGTGTCGGTGTGCAAACTAGAGAATCCTGTTGCGGACTCCCGCGGCGTTTATGCCGTGAGAGAGAGAAAGAGAGAGAGAGAGAGAGAGAGAGAGAAAAAAGAGAGATTGGAACGAGCTCTCTCCCGAGCACGACGATTACTCCGGGGGCCCTGCGAGTACTCGAGAGAGTACCGCACGGACTGGTGTGTGCGGCGACACCGGCTTCCGGTCGAGCACGGCTCCGACTCCCTGTGAGAACTCCCTTGCGGTCTCCTCCCACCAGGACTGGTTAAAAACAATGAGTTCTACCCCGGCCGCCTTTTCTTCCTTTTCTCGTCCCCGCGCGCTCGCCCCGTCTCGTCGCGCCGACGGTTCCTCGGCTTTTGCGTACGCTCTTTGTCGAGAAAACGCGTGGGTCCGCGTGTACCAGCGGCTCCGGTGATCGTAAACACGTCGTGTCTGCGAAACGTCGGAACGCGGACAGGGAAACGGACGTTAGCCCCCGGGAACATGATTTGAGGACTATCGACACGCGGCGAAACGATGCTTTCCATTCAGCCGCGATCGGCCCTAACTCGGCTTAGGGGTTTTCTTAATGGGAGCAAGAGAAACGGTCCCGCGAAGACATTCCGCCGTGCCGTGGATGTATATCATCCCCGTAAAATCTCTTCCTCATCGTCTCGTCGTCATCTCACGAATCGGGTCGTTCGGATCAAGCGACAGAGTCGCAATGAGAGGCGTAAGGGTCAAGCCGAAAAGTGGATACAGTCTATTCCGAGGCAGACGCGCCGGCGGTCACGTTCCTAGGCTCGTAAATCTCCCTAATTCGCTCGTTGAGAGTCCAGAGGCGTCGCGGATGCCGTTCGCCTTGACGAATGGTCGCGCGCGTTTAATGAAGTTATACAGGTCGCCATTGTCGCGAACTTCACTCGGCCGAAGACTCGGGAAGTTGCGAAAGACAGCCAAGTTTGCTCTACATGCACATACATATTTATTTATTTATCCGAAAATCGTTCGCACTCCGAGAAGTATCTCACCTAAGCCGCAGCCAATCTTACCCCCGAAATCCCGAGTAGAAGATTTACAAGTTTCTAGCCAGTAACAAGCCAGGAATTCTGGTTGCTGGCTAGTTTCTGGCCAGTTTGGCGTCACTTGCTTTGCTAACAGCCCGGACAGTAAAACTAGTTTCTTGGCAGTTTCTAGTTCAACTTTATTCTCTCATACAAAATTTTATCAAATAATTTTTATTGCTCAGTTCTAAATTACAAAATATTATATTTTATTATTTAGTATAAAGAAATAAACTCGTGTTTCAGAAGGTAGAATCCTTTCATATAAAGACTAAGATTGATTATTAAGATGCTTGTATCTTTATTTTTAATCACTATTTTTTCTTGCCTAGTTTCTGGCCATTAACTAGTTGAGAGATATTCCGGCCAATGTTTTCCAAGTTTTTACTAAACAGGAACTGTATAGCATTTTCTTACCATTTTTATTGCCTAGTTTTTGGCTTAGTTACTGTCTGATAAATTCGAGTCAGTGAAGACTGGCCTAGTTTCTGGCCAGTTTTTTCTGGGAATTTTTCTACTCGGCCACGAATGCACTTTCTCAAAATATCCGCGTCGATCGTTTTACGACGGTTTCCTCGAGCTCGGCCTTTTGACAGGACGACGTCCCGGTAACCTTTCGACTCGGAAACTACCGGAAGACCAGGGAGTATTACTTTACGACGCGGGTGAACGCGCTCCTCTCGGTCCGCGCGTCGTTCGTCCGTTCGTTCTCCCGCGTTCTCCTCGCGCTGTTTCTGCCGTCGTCTCCTCCCCGGGGTGGCGGACAGGTAACGACATAAAAATCTCGCATTCAACGAGGGCGGATAGCTTCTCATATTACGCCGAGCACCATAACGGAATTGCTTTATTAGACATCCTCCCTCTTGTAACCTACCTACCTACCTATCTACCTACCTACCTCTCTACCTCCCGTCTGCCCTCCCCTCATCTGACATGGCTCGCCCGTTCACGTCTGGCTGCTAACGAGACAGCTCGTGGAGCAGCAGAGAAGCAACCGGGCGACCAACGTATTCACCCTAAGCCTACCTTCAACGACCAAACGAGGCTACCTAAACGCGTCGTCCACCGGACCTACTAAATCAAGATGTACATTGGTCACGGTGTACATGGCGGTCGGTTCTGTTAACTGTGCTTATGAAACATTGATTTCACGCGGCCGGGACGTGACCGGCTGCGCTCTCACGACGTCGTATACGGGGTGCTCCGTTAGACCGTAATTTCGCGTTTTTGCGAGATTCACGCGAGTTGCAGTCGCGTCCTCAACAGAAGAGGATATGCCCGATATTTCCGATATCGTGAAAGCGACGGACTGCAAATTTTCGGGCGTCATTAAATCGGGAATCGGGGGAGGATTCGATGCGACGCTCAAAGCGAAAATTGATACGACGATTGAAATGGAGGATTAACGAGACGGATCAATCGATAGTTTAATTTGTCACATTGGGCGAGCGCGTGCGCGGCGAACTTTTATGGACTTTCAAACTACAATATCTTTCCGCCGCAAACACCCAGTAGATCATTATATTTTAAAGTGGTAGCCTCCGAGTTCGTGTCTCCGGGAGGGCAGTCTATTTCAATACTCGCCAAACCAGTCGGCCCGCTCGAGTACCGGATCATCGCGTATGACGCGACTGGTTCTCAGTGCCAAATCCTGCGAAACAATCGATCAATTTCCCCCGAACTGCATCCGAACATCATCTCCTGTGCGTGTCTCTCTCTCTCTTGCTTTTATAAGTATAAACATATAACGAAAGTGACATCACAAGGATGAAAAACCTCGTCAATACATTAATTGCCGCATCAATTATATACAACAGTTTATCTGATGATTCAATTACTAAAAATCTGATTAATAAATATAAGTTATGACGCGCTTATATAATATAATAAAATAATATGCAAAATAATATATATAAAGTAATATAATAATACGGTATAATTCAACGATATAGAGATAGACATGTGCCTTTGATTTCGTTTTATCAGCTCTCTCTCTCTCTCTCTCTCTCTCTCTCTCTCTCTCTCTCTCTCTCTCTCTCTCTCTCTCTCTCTCTCTCTCTCTCTCTCTCTCTCTCTCTCTCTCTCTCTCTCTCTCTCTCTCTCTCTCTCTCTCTCTCTCTATTAACTATACGACCGACTCTTCAAGTGCAATTAACCCTCGTAGTAGGCATCTTTCGGATACCTTAATATGACATCGTTTCTGTCCTGCTTATCTAAATTGCATAAAAATGCTAATAAAAATTTATAAAAAATTATAAATACACTTTCAAGTTTGTAGAATAGAATTATACAAGGAAATATTGGGAAATATTTACTTAACTATTTCATTTTGTTGTGTATATAAAGAGAAACGCGAGTTTACAAAGAAATCTCTAACTTTCCTGAAAATATATTTAAGAAATTAACACTCTAGAATTCTTTTATTGATGCTTGAACTTTTAAGGAAAATATATTAATTATTAATATATTAATTATTTATTAATAATTTTAAGTTTTTGTAGAACGAGTTTATTTAATACGGATTTTATTAAAATTATTTCAAAGATAGTTATACTTGAATTTGTTTTTATTCGTATTTAGAATGACGATACAGAAACCTTGTTCTCATATAACTAGGAATAAATAAGTTGTCATATAACTAGAAATAAATAAGTTACTTACATAAAACTTTTTTTATATATTATATTTAAGATATAAAGCACGACACGAAAATATAACTAAAAAATCATTATTTTACATTTTGATTAGTCTTAATCTGGCATACTGCAGTCAGAAACGACTTTATAGAAACTTTACTTTTTCGTTATACGACAGCTATTTTAAATGGCTCAACTTTCAAACCTCATATTTCCATTTATTATAATTTTTTTAGCGCATAAATTGAAGGTCTTCATTCCACTAACTTATAGACAAATCAAAGTAAAAAATTAGATGGAGTCAAAAATAATCCCAGTGTGCTAAATTAAAGTTAATTATATTTTTTATATAATGAGAAGCGGTAGTATCTAGAGTAGTAAACAATTAAATACTTTTATGATTAAACTCCTGTCTAACTACTAATTACTTTCTAGAATTGTAATCGCGCGACGTCGAGTTTAAACATAAATATTTCTTAAAATTATATAAAAACATTTATTCGCCGAGAAAGCGACTCGCGAGGAATGTGTGTTTCTCCCGTGTTTCCCCTTTCGGCGCGTTCTAAGACGCGAAGCGCGCTCGTGCGAATTTTTTTCGCCGTTGAATTTCCACGAGGGACGTGCGACATTCCGGGGCAGAGTTTCCGGGTCATCGATACGTCGGGTGGACGTTACAAGGCCATAGGACAGCCTGCGGGACACGCAAGAGAGCAACGGCGGTGGGTTATCACGCGTGCCACGGATCATTACCCTGACGGGGCTGCAGAACCTCCGGGACACCGCCAGCACGTCCTGGCTGCAGCTAAGATTAATCGCTTCGGCTATGTTGCGACGATATCGGCGTAACGGCCACCACCCGATGATAACTAGCGCGACACGTTTCTGGGAGATAAGACGCCGTGACACGATGTCCGCGCGCGCGCGCGTTTTCGGATATTTCAGCCGCGGTGATGATGACCCGCACCGTCTGCGCGCGCTATTAATCGCGATAGTCAGCCGTACAATACAATCGATTTCCGACCGTTCTCGCTGTCGACGTTTCCTGGTGACGGGTCCGTCAATCTCGCGATTCCGTATTTAGCCGAAGAGACATTGAATATCATCAGTGGCGATATACCCTATGATCAGAAAGTACCGGGAATTTTTAAATAAAACAAAATAGAGTTAAATTTCAGGCAAATTTATTTTATCTCCTTCAAAATATGATCCATCTGAAGCAACACACATGTGCCAACGCTTGACCCAGTCCTCCATGCATCCCTGGTAGGCCGACGAAGGGATGGCCTTTAGTTCCCTCGTCGCATTCTCTTTGATCTCCTCGATCGACTGAAATCTCTTTCCACGAAGTGGCAACTTCAACTTGGGGAACAAAAAAAAGTCGCACGGGGCCATATCAGGTGAATACGGTGCTTTGGGCTTCAGAAATCATCTCTTCAGCAACTGTCTTTCGGTGGTGTTTTTGCACGAAATTCAGGTCCTTCGGAACGAGCCTGGCTGCCACGCGTCTCATACCCAAAACATCAACCACAATATGCTGTGCCGTTCCATATGCAATGCCAAGTTCACTAGACATCTCTCTTAAGCTGGTATGACGATTTTCAAGCACCATTTCTTTCACTTTCTTCACGTTTTCATCGGTGTTCGACGTCGATGGACGTCCGGAACGAGGCAAATCTTCCACCACTATACGACCACTTTTAAAGTCTTTATACCACTCGTATGCTCTTGTTTTTGATAGAGCAGATTCGCAAAATGCTTTTTGCAACATTTTCAGTGCATCGGCACACGAAATTTCGTTCGCAACACAAAATTTCAAACAAACTCTTTGTTCAACAACATTATCCATGGTAAAATGCGACAAATTGAAAAAAGTTGACTGATGTAAACAAACGCCAGGCAGACACTAATGATTGGATGGCACTAAAACCTGACAGATGTGCGTCTTAAGGTCGTACCAACATAAGAAAAAAAAATAAACCGGTTCCTGCATGCGCGGTACGTTTAAATAAAAAATTCCCGGTACTTTCTGATCATAGGGTACTTGAGAAGTTTTGCGCATCGCTCGTTCTCTCTCTCTCTCTCTCTCTCTCTCTCTCTCTCTCTCTCTCTCTCTTTCTCTTACTTCTCTATTTTCGAAGAGACGACGATGCTTAAGTTTTCCTTTGAGACGCAACATCGTGGCCGCGCTTTCCTTAACATGTTGAATGTCCTGTCATGGCCACCAACACTGTGACACTACTAAAAGTTAAGTAAAATTACAATAGTTGCGAAATTTGTAATGTAATTGTAGAAAACAATAATTAGTGTTTGTTTTTGGAATTGTAATGGAATTCGAGTTTAATTACAATCGTGAAAAGTTATAATTTAACTGGATTTTTAAGACACACAAGTACTTTTTTTTTAATTACAATTAAACTCAACTTTAATTACAATTTCGAAAAGTATGTGTACTTAATCTTGACTTCACTTGTAATTCCACAAAGTGTATTTAGATTCTACTTTCAAATAAAATTCCACAAAATATTTGTACTTATAAATTCAACTCTCTGTAATTGCAATTTCACAAAGTATTTATATTTAATCTTCACTCCAATTACAATTCTACAAAGTGTTTATATTTAAACTTAACTTAAACTACAACTGCAAAAATTAATTAGTAACTAAATAGAAATTTAATTATAAAAGTCTTTAATTATTTATAACCCTAGGTACCACCACGTCTCATTAAGTTATATTAAAATACAATTAATTGCATTAAAAAAATCCGATGATTGATGGAGAGTTAATCTGTTGTACTTTATTACTACATTATTTTGTTATGTTGTATATTACTTTTGTACTATTCAAGCGTCACGAATTTTTTTCACATTTATTTACCGTATCTTTAATAATTTAATTGTCAATTAAACCATTGTATATAATTAAGATGCTGAAAACTTTACCGTCAGAATATTGACATTTTTCTGTAAAGTTTACGTTGTATTAGTTGTACAGAATTATAAGTGCTTTTACGCAATGAAAGCACGTGCAAAAATAAATAGGAGCATTGTATGTGACGAAAACGAAAAGAAAAATTTTGAATGTAAAATCTCAAGCTGTCAATTAGCATAATATTTGCTTAATCCAAAAGTTCCGCAGCTTGTATATACCGAAAGTGTGGATAGTCCAAACAGAAAAATTTTGAAAAACATTGCTATACTTTCGCATTTGTCTTCAAAGACCTAAGGATATCTGAAAAGTTTGAAGAAAGATTTCTACACATGTGTGTGGTTTTTCGCAGAATATGATAAAAAGAAATAATACATATCAGTTCTGTGAATACAAGAAATACAAAAAGGATAACGTGATTACATTATTTTTTAAATCAATCATAAACATGAATAGGTATTTAAATCGAAATAGGTATTTAAATCGAGTTAAATAAGGTGTTCAAAATGACCAGCTTCAGCACGAATGCAGGCCCTTATTCTCCTATCAAAGGAATTCCGAACTCTTTGAAAAACATTTGGATCCTTATTTCTTGGAATCCACGAATTATTCTTTGTCTTAAGTGACGATTTCTGCGTTATTATTCGAATTTGTTATCGACTTCAGCGTCTCCTTAACGCAGTAATCAATGTGTTAACGAAATTTTCCGTCCTTATAATTCACTTCAACTTTCTATGATTATAATTGACTATGATTCAACTTTCGTGCGATACGTCCGCTAAGGGCCGTGGTACACAGAAAAACTCAAGCAGTAAGACGTAAGCAGTAAGCAAATTGACCAATCACAGTCGTTGATTCTTGGACCATAAGAAGAATCAACGACTGTGATTGGTCAATTTGCTTACTGCTTACGTCTTACTGTTTATGTTTTTCTGTATGCCACGATCCTAAAGCCTGATCTACAATATGCTCTTTGCGTTCTGTTTCTTGTCTTCTGTCTTTATCTGGCTTAAGGCTTAAGGTGTGAGCCAGAAAGAGATAAAGAAAAAGAAGCAGGAAGCAAATAACGCATCGTAGATCAAGCTTAACAGTCCGCCAAAAGTGCATCGTAATGTACGGACGTCGTTGGAACACGGAGAGACGCAAGCAGAAAATTTCCAAGCGATCGTCGGAGCCGGTTTGTGTCGCGGATCGTTTTTCGGCCTTTCCAACTTACCTCCCCGGCCCGTCGGGTAGCCACCCCGGCGGTGGTACCTCCGGTGCGTGGGGGCACGACCCACACAATGAGTGGTATTCGCCCCCAGGGCCGTAGCGATATACGCGCTCACCAACAATGTGTGGCCGGGCTCCATCGCGCGCTATGCTAATATCAAGGACCCGTGTGCGCACACAATGCCGGCTCGTGTAATATTTGGCGACGTCAATAACCCAAAATAAATACCTTTTGTACCGTACTTCGGTGCGCTCCCGGCGTTCCCGCGGCTCCACCTGAAACCTCGCGCTGCCGTTTCGCCGGCCAGACGCGTGTCGCTCGCGTCTTCGAGCACGTCGAGAGGTCGAGAGGTCGCAGAGAGAAGAAAGAAGGAGAGCGGGAGAGAGGGAGAGATCACTCGTCGAGATCCTTTCATTCGGGAAAAGAGGACACGGGGAGTTGTAAAAATTGTAGAATCACTGTCACATCTGCTACGAAGAGATTTAACGCGTTACTCACGCGTTACTCGCGCAAAAAATTATGCTACGAAGAAAGACCGGCCAAAATAAATCGAGTCAATTTCAGGGTTATGTGTCGCGAACTAACTCGATTATGTATTACCCTAATTATTTTGGTAAGATTCTTGTGTTCTTTTAATTTTTTGCTCACGTAGGGAAAACAAGTTCGAAAGTTAGTTTACGGAGACGATCTTAGGATTAGCGAGGACTACCGTCCGAATTATTTAACCTTCCAAGCAGAGAACTTCTAGAATTACTTTTATTATAGAGGTAGATTTTTTAAGTAAAAAGAACATTTATATCATAACTACGTTTCAGTTTCATTACATTTTTACTATTGACTAAATTTCTTGATTGCTAAATTTTATATTCTGACAATTCTAACCACTAAACTTCGTAATTTAATACAAATTACAAAATATTGAAGTAAGCCCTTCTAAATATTCAATCACTAAGAAAAATTTTTAAAGGACAATAAGAACAAAAATGGAAAAGCGGACAACAGCAGCAACAGATAAAAGTCCAACTATATTTATTAGTTTTACAAACGTTTTGGTCTTATATTCGAACCCTCTTCAGTACGGGGAGATTAATTATATAATATAATCGACGCAATGTTGATGTAATTCCAAAAATCTTATATATGTTGCCTTCAAACATTAGACAAACCATGAAACAAAGATAAAAGATAAAAAAATTTTTAGGAATTATAAAAATTCAAACATCTTACTCAACGCACACAATAATGTTGAAGTTCGCACCAAGAACAAAGAATATAACCGCTAGTTCAGATCAATTTGAACAACGGTATAATGCCTGAGTGATCGTGTTTATAAATATGTCTTGAACTATCCGACATAAGATATAGAATATACACAAAGATGATAAATCAAATAATAGAAAGCCTCCCGATGACGGAGAACAATAGTCCTTACTTAATCCCAGAGTGTCCTCTTGTAAGTTTAGACTTTTTGTTTGACGCTTGATGAAAAACATTTCGTAGTTTAATTTCACACGTCAGATTGTCGGCCTCTTGCTCGATCGTAGCTTACGCAACGACATTTGCGCAACCCTGTGAGACTTGTTTCTTTTCACTCGACTTTTTCCCCGTGTATCTCGTGTTTCGCGTTATCCGCTTTCCCCGATTCGTGACGCCCTTTATGAACGCTAACGCTTCCGGCGAGACTACATTATCGCCGGCTCTGTCCTTTACTTTCGTCGTCCGCGAGTCGTCTCATCGCACGCGCACCCGTAGAAAGTGAAAAAAGGAGGGACAACGTCAGACGTCACGTGTTCACGATGCAGAACCATGGTCGCACTCCTCTCGCGCGACGAAACAAAGATCAACGCGTCGGCGATCTCTCGCGCTTACGAGACGAAATCCGCAATAAAGAACACCTGGTGTCGCGGGCGGCGGCGGCGGCGGCGACTTCGTGCGAGGGTCGACCTTTCCTGGTAGACGCGTGTCTGCGCATCGTCACACCTGCTTACGCAAAGCCTCGTCCGCGTATGCCGCGCCGCGAGGCTGTGTCCTTCCGTGCTCTCCTCGGCGACGCGTTTCTTCGTGCCGGCCGCCACCACCGCGTACGTCGTCACGGACCGGGAGACTTTTCGTGTCGCGACGCTCCGCGAAAGGGAAACGAACGACGTGAGGAGGTGTGAGGGCACGCTGAGAACGCAGCTTAAACGCGTCGCACGAACACTGGACATGACGTCGTGACCGAACAGGAATCGGGACTCTTGTATTTCCTCTTCGGTCTGCCCGCTCGTTTTTTCTCGCTTTCTTTTTACCTCGATGCTTGATGCTCGAGGTAACTCGGCCGACTCGGAGAGCCGACTCATTTAGGATTTAACCGGAGACTTGTTAAAATTGCAGTAACTCAGACAGCACTATCTACTGCCCATTTTAATTAATTTCTACCACTCGCTTTAATTAATTTGTCATGTTTAAATAATTTTTCATGTATATAGGATGTTTAAAACTAAAGCACTCAACACATATGAGATGTAACTTTAATTTTTTATTTAAAAAATTAATTTTTTTATTTAAGTTAATTTTTTTATTTTCCTAAAATCTAGTAGTACAAATATTAACTGACTATTGTTGCCAACATACTAAAAAAGGCAGTC